CAGTTTCTAAAATGTTAGGAAGGTAAACTCAAAACTCTCTAAAGCGTGTATTTGATTGATATATTTTTGCAACAGTTGTTTGTGTGTTGTATTGATACCTGCGTACTATAACTGTTTTTTAAGTTGCCTTGCAGGGTCTATTGTCTGGCTTTATTTAAATTGGAAAGGAATTAAACAGCCAAGATCTACTTCTCCCCAGAATTTTGCATAAGAATCTTTTAGCTTTTCTTGTTTGTAGACTATTAGGTTATATAGCCCTTCAAAAAAAAAATTGATTAAAAAAAAATCTATTGCAATACAAGAATGTGATTTCTTCCTCCCTCTTCACCTCGCCCCCATGTGACTCAAACACCAGAGTACCAACGCTGATTTTGACTTTCCTGGCTATTTTGAAGATACTGAGATAATTTCCCTATTTTTAAGCTAAAGAAATAATACTGCAAATATAAGACATTTTAAAACATTAGACTCTGGAGGAAATGAAGTAACAACCCTAAGTATCCCCTTTGAAAACAGCTGCTCTGCAGATTTTTTGAAGCAGTATGCATCTTTAGATTTACTAATCCCTTATCAAAATACGTGAGTGCTGCTGAAGCGTATATGCATTTGCAGGGACAGGTGTTTGCCTCTCCAGCAAGGTGTGGTAGATACAGGAAGAGTGGTATGAAACGAACTGTGAAGCTATGAGTGGGATGAAGTAGACATACAGGTAGTATAAGCAGAACACATGTAAGTAGGGAGATGGACTTAGGAGAAGGTCTTACATGGAAAAGGAGTAAGCACAGCTCTGAAAGTGAAGGGAAGTAGTTTTAACTTGATGGGAACTTTGTATATTAAAGCACCTATCACATATCTTTCTTACTGGAAGATTTTGGTGGTTTTTTTTTTGTTTTGGCAGCTTATTTAGAAGTAGAAGCCAACGTAACAGAGGAGAGTAAGATTTACAACATTTTTTTTATAGCGTGTTGGATGAGTAAGTGATTGAAATGCATGTAGAGACTGAACTTGAACGTGACTGCTTGTAATGATAAGCTGTTTTTTCTGCCTATAACTAGGGATGCATGAACTATCTCCAAGGGTACCGCTAAAGAGCGTTTCAATTAGCCTGCATATGTGCATAGGCCCTAGCAAGGAGTGGGATACTATTTGAGCTAAAGTCTTTGCATAAAAATCAACGTTCTGATTATCTATCTTAAATAAGTTGTACTTTTAAGTAATTTTGTGTGTACTTTGGTTTCTCAGACAACTTAAAATATTACTTCTGAGAAAGTTCAAGTAGAACCAGTCGATAGATTCTCTAGAATAATTGTTTTATTCTTGTTCTTATGTTCACGATTCTATTCAGGTTAGCTCGGACTTGTAATTGTAGCTCACTTTGAGTGAGGTGGAGACGCTTTATGTGCCATAGTGCAATAATATATAGCTAGTCATAAAACATGGAAGCTCTGATAAATTCTGAACTTGTGTTGGTCTTGTTTTAAATGGGATTTGTAACTGTGGGTCATGCAATTTTTCTGCGATGGGCTTTTTCAGCTTAAATATGATGAGTGTAACACAGCTGTTCTAAGTCTGTGATGAAAGCCATCTCAGTGTTTTTTAAAATATTTTCCCACATGACAGCTGCTGTGTAGCTCTTGTGTTCTGTACTTGTAAAAACCATCGAGCTGTTATCGGTATTGGCAAAAAATTACTCAGCATGTCTTCATCTCTAGGGGAGTAGTTGTTAGACACCAAATAAGACCGAGCTTAAAATTCTTGTCTTGAGGAGTGACTCTAGTTTGCAAACATGCAATAATATGAGATTTTCTTTCCTGTGCTTGTACGCAGTGTCATTACACTGGTTAAATAGGAATATCTTTCTGCAAGCCCTACCTTTCTGTTTTTGTGAGTGGTTAGCACAGTCTACAGAAGAAAGGTGTCATCAGCCTTGTGTAAAGGTATATCTGGTTTATATATTTTGGATGAACTATTTGCTGCCTTCCTTCTTTATGCTACAGAGCTTCTGTCTTCTAGCTCTTGGCAAGCTGTATTCAGTGAGCACAGTTGTCTCTCTCTTGGGGGAATTTTTAGCAGACCATCTTTCCCTGGATTTCTGCTGACAACATGAGCTTATGCTCTAGTGCCACAAATAATTCTTATATGAAGACAAGGAAGAAAACTGCTTTATGAATTACATCTGTGAAGTAAAGCAGCCATCTTTATTTCAACTTTTATAAAATATGAGGAAAAAAAATGTGAATTTTTAAAAAGTAGGACGACAAAGTACCTTTTAGGTCTTGCAGACAACAAAGTACCTTTTAGGTCTTGCAGACATTTAAAATTTTCTGGAATAAGAAAAAGATACTTGTAATTATTAGAATATTGTTTGTGTTATGATACCATCTAAAATCTATAGCTCACAGTGGCGAGGGTCCTTACTTGCTAGACACTGTACAAAACCTCAGTGATAAGTATTGTCCTGTCTATGATGAATCAAAATATATTCTTCTTTCGAGCTATCCTGCTTACTGCTCTTCTCCTTAAAGAAGTTAAACATTGAATCAGCATTGTGGAAATAAGTTTTGAATAAGGTATTTTCCACTCGGAGATATGCATCAAAAGAGAAGTTGTAGAAATACAGAGCAAGGATCTTTAGTAGTGATGGTGATAAAGGCTTGACCCGGACTAAGGTATGCACAAAACAGGAAGCGGAAGCCTGTTAATCATGTGGAGACTTTTAAAGTTCTAAATAGCGGGTATTTGTAGTAGATCTTCATTGTAGACTCTTCTGGATGTGGTCTATGTATTTGGTTTATCCACGTTCAAACTTTGTGAAAGCAAATATGTGCCTGTGGGACTCTAAAGGAAAAGTGCTTCTAAGACAAATGGGCTGACCTAATAGTAGTCTTTGAAATTATTGTCTTCCTGCTTAATATAACTTCAATGAGTATTACTCCTGGGCTTTTTTTTTTGTTTTGTTTTGATGGTAAAAAAGGAAAATCCTGTGTTCTTCGTTATTAGCCAGTGAAGCATGAAGAATTGAGACAATTGTGGATCATTTAAGAAGGCTATTTGTCAAGTAAAGGTGAACGTTTTCCATGAAATATACTTTTTAGCTATGAGGGAGATTTTGCTAATTTCTAGGGATGAGTTTCTCAGTTGTTCTGATTGTAATTCTGTTACTACAGATTGACTTGATATGACCCCAAAATATCATTAAAATGAGGTGAAATTGATTTCCAGTGGGTTCTCAAATAGTTTGCATTATGCCCTTTTTTTTTTTTGTTTTAATATCTAAAGAGAATCTTGTGGAAATGGAGAGGGAAATCTGATTACAGTGATGGCAGCTGTGAAGGTTGTTAATGTGCAGGGGATCCCCCTTCTTCTCAAGATGAAAGAGATACTAGTATATGCTGCCTTTTGCAGCTGAAACGGTTGAAGTCTGGTAAAGATTCATGACTAATTCACAGCAGTCTGGGTTGAATTATGATGACTAATCTTATTTTTAAATCAAGTCATAGAAAACACCTTGAGTATTGTTAAAATATTGCCGTACAATTAGACCTTCAATTAGATGTGTTTGTATATTGCAAAACAGTGTACATGAAGCTTAAAAAAAATCAGTATTCTATGTTTCCTGCAGTGTTTGCAGCTTAAAGAGAGATATATTGTAGTAGTGTGTGAAAACTTGATGAGATAATTTGAAATCAAGACTAAAACATGAATGCTTACTGGCTTATTTTGTCTGTCCAGGTTGAGTGAGGCCTAGAAGGTAACTCACATAAAGAAGAAAATAGTAGATTTCATACATTCTTTGCGACAGTGTGATGTGGTTTCACTTACTCAACTGTGGCCGTTTGATGCTCCTGTGATCTCCTTTCTAGCTGTACTTTCATCTCTCTTCCAGAGAGCTCTTTCAGCAATGTGTATGCTGATGCCACTCATACAGGAAGAGATACTCTTCTTCCATCATTGCTGCACAGCAGGTTTTTCCATCCTCTTGCAGAACCTAGAAGGATCATTGCTTGTAGAAATAAGTTTGTATTTTGTTTTCTAGTTCTCCTATTTCTCATAAATCTCATAAAGAAAATTTCTTGGAAATTGTACAACTTTTGGGTGAGGTGCCTGTTGCAAGTGAAGTCCAGTTAGTTGCTTTAAAAATAAATGGCAACTGTAAATTTATTTGTATATACAATTTATACAATAGCAAATATATTTGTATATACAATTTTCTATGACTACAGTTTTTCCCTCTGTGTTGAGTGTTGGACTTCCTATTACTGGAGCTGCCTCACGCTTTATGTTTATTAAGTGTAAAGAAAAGCCTTATATTTATGTTTATCAGGAACTAATGCATACTTACTTTTAAATGGAATCAAGAGTCTGACTTGAATCAAAATGCAGCAGGAAAACGAACAAATGTTGTCTCTCTCTGACTTTCTCCTTTCATACTTTCCCCTTGTTTGTTATCATGCATCAAGCGTAACCTTGATTTCACATCTGCTTCTCTTCCTCCTTCCTTTTTGACAAACCAGAGCTAGTTTTAGGTAAGAACATCAAAGGAGACAAGAAAGAGGAGTAATTTAGTTCACAGCTAAGCACCTACTTTAGTTCCTCAAATATAAGTCCTAAGCTCTGGAAGACTGGTGTACAGAGTTATAAGTTTAACATAGTGGTGTTCTTCGTGTATCAAACTTACTGTTGTTTCAAGAGTGTCAGGATTTTCTCCTGATTACTATAAATCAATAAATTGCATAAAGACCTATTTATTTCAAAAGATTATTTTTACAGTGCAAGAATCATATTTTAAAAAAATTCTTCAGTAGAATTGAGTTAGTCTTCATGGGTTTTGAGAAGAAACGTTTTGATGTACAGAGTTTCTGCTAAAGGAACGTGCTAGTATCGTACGGCTATACGTTGTTTATTCATGTGCTTTTTTTTTTATATAACAGGAGATTTAGGTTTAAATGTAATTTAAGTAAGAGGTTTGATTTCTGCTTCAACTGAGATTAATAGCGATCATGGTTGATTATATTAGGAGCAGGTTTGGGATTTTTATATGGACTTAAACCATAAAAGATAGTGTCTTGAGCATAGCAAATTGTTTTATGATGAAGTATGGTATATGGAAATATACTGAGGAACACAGATAATGTTTACAAGTACTTTTTCCTCTCCATAGTTGTTTTTTCTTTTTCTTTTTTTTTTTTTTTTTTACCTATTTCTGTTTAAGAGCATAGCTATACTTCAGATAGAAAAAGCACAAACATTTCTTTTCTGTAAAATTTCTTTTTAGACCTACTTATTCCCCTTTACTGTGTGAACAAGACTTCTCATCTTCTAAACGTTTTCTGTATAAACCAATAATTGAGTAAATGTGTGGGTATTATGGGGGAGCAAGGTTGGGGATTGTGGACCAGGGTGCTTATAAATGGTTTTCAGTGGAGAAATGGGAAATAGTTGATTGTAGCTCAGTCTCCAGATACTTGAAATTTTGGTAATTTGATTAATTTTTAATTGTAGTTCTGCCTTTGACACAAAAACTGGGTTGCGTGTGGCTGTGAAGAAGCTGTCCCGACCATTTCAGTCTATCATCCATGCCAAAAGGACCTACCGAGAACTACGACTACTTAAGCATATGAAACATGAAAATGTAAGTTGAAGGAGATACTATGAAAACTTGGATTAAAGTTGGACCATCCAGTGAGCATCAGCCTGAATATTCAGCATGATTGCGTTTAAGGGTCTTGTTGTACAGGTTTTTCTAATACCAAATATGAATCTTGTAGTGGTGAGAGGGATTATGATTTGAAGTAAAACATGCAGATAAAAAGTAGAACATAACCGATTTTATGTTAAAAAGTCTAATATTTCCTAGAATCATCTGGCAATTGCTGTCTAGCAAATTCTTGCTGTCTTAAGAATTTAGGACACGGGTGATGCGCTTCCATTCTCCTGTTCTCTTGTTGTAGCAAGCTGTAGTTTTTGTGACATTAAGAATTTATTTAAAAAAAAAAAAGCTCAAAGTTGACTTTAGTAGTGTATTCTGAAGGGTTTTTTCATATTTGTTTGTTTTGGCTTGCCTTATGTTGGAAGGGCGTGGAGTAGATATTCTCTAGATTCCTGTGGATAAAATGGGGAGGGAGGGGGGAAAAAGTTCAGATGTCCTTTCTTACAAGCCACCCGTTTAAATCAACAAAAAGAAAATAAAATAGGACAATCTGGCAAACATTATGTAGAGCTATATTATATAATGTCTAATCATTTTTCAGTGTAACCTCCATTTGGTGTAGAAAACAGTTGAAAGAATTCTGTATATTTGTGGCATTAAGATATCAGCATATTTATATTGCCTGCTGTTTCAGTGGAGCAAAAAGTCGCATAACCTATCCTCTGTAGAACTGACAGAGTCAAGAGGAAGGATCTTGACTTTTCTCCAAGTGAACTACAACTTAGCAGAAAGGAAGTACTGTTTTGGAAGTGGGCCGAGCAAGCCTAGTATCTTTATCTAGTGCAAAAAACAAGCCTAATTTCATTGTAAGGTTCTCCTTGGATGGTCTGTTCAGAATTCCTTCTTTTGTGGTAGAGACTATTGTGTGTTGTGGCTTCTAACCACCTCAGTCGGCAATTGGTATCCCTTAAGTCTTCTTGGCAGTTTTAGTGTAGCTAACATAACTGGAACTTTTGATGCATATTTGTACCATGTGAAACGCTTCTCAACAACACTTCCTCAGTGCCTGGATGCGGAAGGACCTGCATTTGATACCGTTGTCTGTCTTAACAGTTGAGGTAGTATTTGATCTTGCTTAGTATCCATCCCCTTGATTTTTTTCTGAGCCTTCTCTAATAGCTGGGATGTTCTCCAAATAGTTGTAGGAGAGAGCTTTGAATGCGTGTTTAAAAAAAAAAATTGCAGAGTGTTAGTCTTTTTCCTCTAAGCTGATAGGATTAAGCAGTGGAAATTAGACTGTTACTAGTGCTTCAACAGTTTATGTCTGGCATTCATTAATATTTTTGCTGTAGTATTGCCAGGATCCTACATAGCTTTGAGAATGAGGAATAAAAGGATGTTATGTTGCTTATATATAGAAGTATTTATTATCGGTTCATCATATTGCCCCCTATCTGTGGGAAGTTTATCTTGGTTGCAATGTAAAAATGCTGCAGATGCAGAGATGTTTAGAGCCAGTTCAGGCAGGCTTATTAATGCTAGCGTATTGACCAGTTCAGGTGTGGGTTTGGGAGCAAAAAACTTGATTTTAGGTGGCACAGAACACTAGCAAATTTTTGAAGAGCTCCAGTACAGGATAGTTTTCTATATCCCGTATCTAGATTGGTCACGTTGGTCTGGAGAAAATAAATGGACCTGCAGAGCACTCAAGTGTGTCTGCATTGTATTTTCAAGTTCAGGAGGCCTTATTGTGCTTGTAAGCACAACACTGGGCAGGTGTGAAAGGAAACTTGGCTTTGGTGCCATATGAAGTTAATAAGCTTTGTGACAACCTAAATGCTGCGAGGAGAAGCAAAAGGGTAGCAGTTAGGTTCTGAATCTAGTGATGACCACAGTTCCTTAGAATTGAGTCAGTGACACGCTGCAGAATAGCCATATTTAAGTGTTTGTGAAACTTCTTTGATGAAAGATATAGCAGCATAGCAAGATAAAAGTGCTAAAAGAAAAAGCTGATGTCTGGATAGCAAAGTCAATTTTTTTTTTCTTTCCATAATAAACTAGGTGGATAACTTTGATTTTTTTCTGTAACTAAATTCTAATATGGAAGAGTCCACTGGAGGCAAACTCTGAGAATTTACTATACTAGATGGATGCAAATGTTGCAGTTTGAAGAAAATGCCTGTCTAGAAATGAAGCTACTGTGATATGTATGAAGAGAGACAGGAAAGTGGTTTCTCTTTTCAGTTTCCTCCATAAACATGTAATCTGTAATATACAATGTAGATAAGATTAGATAGAGGCTTTTACTTCCTACCCTATTTGCTCTTTTTTCAAGAAACATAGTCTAGGCTCCTCAGAACTTTTGTCCTCCATTATCTACTTAAAGTTAACAATTTTGACATCCTTGACAAGCATAAAGGATGGTGGGGGGGGGGAAAGGATGGTGCCAACAGAAAACAAAGGAATACAACTGTTAGTTTCATATTCACATTTGAACCATTACTGGAGTTGCAGAAATGTGCTTGGTAGCAAAGCAATGTGTATCTGAGTCAAGTGAGATGCTGACTTAAAATGGGAAGGGGGGGTTCTTTGGAGGTGGGTGAAGAGAACCTCTCCCTTTATCTCGTATATTCCTAATATAAAATATTATTTGCCATTAAGGGAAGGAAAATAAGATTTAAAAGCACATCCTAGTGAATTAAAACAATCTTAATCCACCACATCTTTTTTTTTTAATGCTGTAAACAACCTAGAAGATAATAAGATATGGTTCTTCTTTTCCAAAGTGACACATTCATACCTTTTTACTCTTTGTTGTTGCTGCTGCTGCTGCTGTTAAAACAGCTTCAGCGTTAAATGAAAGGTGGAGTAGATGCTCTTAGGGCAGAAAATACAAGTGAGGGTGTGAAGCTGTCAGCTGTTCCTGCAAATTGGGTCCTCAGTGCATTTCCCTGTTCTCCTGACTTGCTTTCTAGTATAGTCATTATTATTCATTGCTTGTATCCTTGAATTTTTCTAGGCATTACTCAGTACAAATGAAATAAATGACATCATCTCCCTATTCTGAGTTTACCATCTAATCAACAGTGTAACTGAGAGCTGAGTAGGAAGCCAACTGCTTTCAGTCTATGGTTTGTCTGGGCAAATTGTAGTTGGCTTTGAAATAAGACATTGTAAACCAGTGTTTACGCCTGCCTTTTGTTGCATTGATTGGTAATGCCTCCTTTTTGATGCTTTAAATGTGTGAGAAGACAGCTGTATATTGTAACCATAATATTTTTTACACAAAAGCTGAACCTTTGTTCCTGATCTTGTTTAACTACTACATTTTCTTCACCCAAATGATTAATGTAGCTGAGACCTCTATTGGGATGAGTAGTTTCTATTTCATTAAGGATCCTGTTAACTGTATCATACTGTACTATGAATGTACTGCAGAACTTTCTCACTTTGTTTTCTTTTCTAGGTGATTGGTTTATTGGATGTGTTCACACCTGCCAAGTCACTAGAAGAATTCAATGATGTGTAGGTAACTTCTCTGACGACTGGAAAAAAAGCACCTTTTGTATCTTCTTTATATCTCCCAAACTATTATAGGAATATTTGCCACCTTCAGTTTATCTGCTGTTATTCTCGAACAGTTCTGAAAGCTAGCACAAAAGATAGTAGGAGATCCTAAACTATTGGACTCTTCAAACTTGTTCACTTGCGTTTTATTCACCAGTGCTGTAGGAATCAGGGTACTAATCTGCCATGTTATTTAATGTGCCGTGAACTGTATTTCGTTCAACTCTGTGCTTTGGGACAGCCAGCCCTGCCATTGGAGGGTCATAAGGAGTGTTCATCCTAATCCCGTTGAAGAGATTGCTTTATAGCCTATGTGTTTTCTTTTGTTCATAGGTACTTGGTGACGCACCTTATGGGAGCAGATTTGAATAACATTGTGAAATGCCAGAAACTCACAGATGATCATGTGCAGTTCCTCATATATCAGATTCTTCGGGGGTTGAAGGTACTTGCATCTGTCCTACCTGAATGTTAATAGCTCGTCAATGGCAAGTCAAAGTTCTTGATAAACATTATGTCCTCAGAGGTTTGTATGAGTACATAGTGGAGCTTCTGTTGATTTTCCTAATGTGTCATAGGATAATCTTTTCTTACTGCTCTTTCTTGTCATACTTCATTGGAGCTCTGTATCAGTAAAGCTATGTAAAAGTGAAGAAGGTAGTCCTATACCTTCCTGGGGACAAAGTCTGGGAAATTATGAATTATGCTGTCCTTTAATCTACTCTGTGCATCTTCTATTTCTTCATTCTCTTCTACTTCTGTCATGCCACTCTTGGTAGTAGTGCTCCTGGGTGCTCCTAAGGAGAGACTGAAGCACCTACGTGCTTGAAACCCACAGACATATGCTATACTTGGTTCCCTCTGCAAACAAACTACGCTATTTGAATTGTGTGGGATGGGGTCGGGCAGTATTGTCTAGTGAGGAAATGAGAAGAAGGCTACTTGTGCTCTTCTGTAAAATCTGTCATTTTGCCTTACAGTACATCCATTCAGCTGACATAATACACAGAGTGAGTATTTATCCTAAGATTACTTCCTGTACTGAACCGATGTGTTTAAAGAATGTAGCACTGAACCTTACCATGTAACAACTACAGAATTGAGAAGAATTTTGCTGAGAATTATTGCAGAGAAACAGTCAAATGATTAGAGATAGGAAGTGGTTGTCAAGATCCTTAGTTTCTGTTCCTACCTCTGTTTCGCTTGTATCTTTGTAAATAGGTTCTCTAGTTGTATAATATGTATCTGCAGCAGCAGTGTTACGATAAGCCATTAATGTATTTTTGCTTATGTATGACACCTCTGAGGACTGTAGAAGAGAGAGCTGGCTCTGGGACAAAATTATTTTCTCAAGGATGGAGGTTGATCTTGACAGCCGATTAGAATCTATTTTCTGTTTGAATTTACACTCTACTTAGACTTGTGCAGTGGCGTATGTTCTGCTGTTAATGCTGATGTTGTTTAATTTTTAGGATTTAAAACCTAGTAACCTAGCTGTAAACGAAGACTGTGAGCTGAAGGTAATCTAACGACAGCGTGACTGGTTTGACTGTGGTTTGAGTGAATGCCTTGTGGATGTCCCTTGGAATTAAAGGGACAAAATAATTGATTATGGAAATACTTTGGTGCCGCAAATTAATCATGTCTTTCCCAGCTGTAAAAGGCTGTAAGGATGTTTATGCAGAATTCTTTTTTTTTCCCGTATATGTTGGTGTATTTAATGAATCATCATGAAAGTAAAGACTTATCAGATTTAGTTTGGGTTTAATTCTTTTAGAGGCAAGGTGTTCAGATGCAACTCTGATGGTTGGGTGCTGTGTTTTTCTAGGCTAGTGTCATTTAGCAGGTTATGAAATGTAGTTTCATAATCTGCTTTTGCAGTTGCACTGCTTCTCCTCCACCCAGTCCAAGAATTGCCTAGTTATTTGCTCTAACTAGTTTGCGTTGTTCCACTGCAGCAGTTGACGGATGTCTTTCTATTCTATAGATACTAGATTTTGGCCTGGCCCGACATACAGATGATGAGATGACTGGATATGTGGCTACCAGGTGGTACAGGGCTCCTGAGATCATGCTGAACTGGATGCATTATAACCAGACAGGTAATACCTTTAACTAAATTCAGGAACTGAAAAGCTTTGTACTAGTTAAAGTCAAAAGAGGTTATCCTATGAATGTGTTCCTTTGCTTTTGATTGCATAAATTGGCAGTTACAGTAATTACACTTCAGTAAGGATGCTTAAAAGAAGGAAGGTTTAGAATTATGTATTTTGTCCACGGTCTAATAGACATAAGTTATGAATCATTGTAATAGCATTCACAAGACTTCTTTAAACTTTCTTTGAAATAGCAATCAGTAAAATATCATCAGTACTTACTCCTTGTTTTTCCTAGCACAGTGCTTTTTAAAGTACATTCTTTTTAAATAGAATGTAATCTGGATGAGGGAAAAGGTGTATTTTGAGGAAGTGACTGGGAATACACTGCAAATTGTCTGGGATTATGGGATGGAGAAATGCTGAGAATGCATATCAAGTTCCCTTCCCTTCATCTCTTCTTAGCTACCTCTTCCCAGCTATATCTTTCCCCCCCCCCAGTTTCCGGTAGCATCTCAGCAACCCCCTCTCTCCCCTAAAATACTTTCAGATCAGGTACAGAGAAGAAGAAAAACTACGGGAATAGTTATTCTAGTACAAGACTATCTACATAGGAATCATGAAATTAGCGTAGCACATTATTTTCATTATCTTACTGCTTTTTCTTCTTTTCTCTTTTCCTCTTACATGTATATGGACTCTTCTTTCATCTGTTATACAGGAGTTAGTGGTTGTTTGGGTAGAACTTATGTAAGACCATATTGAAGTTTATTCCTCAGAGCTGTCTTGAACAGATGGTTTCTTCTTCCATTTTGTAGACTCCTCCCTAGCTCTTTGGTGTCCGATGCATGTTATGCTCAGGAAGGGCAATTTACCTAATCCGGTATTATTATGTTATTTGGACAAGTCTTAGATGCTAAGTGGTTATCAAACGGTATCAGTTAGCTTGCAAGGTGTCTCAGATTATACTTCAATAGTCTTACAGTGTTGAAACAAAGTTGTTCGTACTTGTTGAATAAGGTGATTCTATTGAGACTTTATTTTTCTGCATTACATTTTTTTTCTTTATTTTATTTTGTTCAGTTGATATTTGGTCAGTGGGCTGCATTATGGCTGAACTGTTGACTGGAAGAACGTTGTTCCCTGGTACAGACCGTATCCTTTAAAAGTAATATGTTTTCTTGAAATGTAAGTTAGAGATCTTAACTTTCACATGCTTCACAAGGAAACAGGTTCTGTGTGGTGGTGGTGTTGTTTTTTAATTAATGGCTGCTTTTCTCACAGTATGGTGAGGTGAGTTCTTGATTCGCTGCACATGAAATCTTTACAGTGTGCGAGGAGGCGGAGCTCTTTTTATTGTCTTTTAGCATCACTAGAATTACTCATGTGTTGTTTGTTTCTGGGAATTACTTTCCTTTAAGTTTATTTAAATTCATTGCTCTTTGGGTTTGTGGAAGATAACTGCACGAAGTAGTCTTCTGTGAATTCTCTCGTGCTTCAGGCTTCTAGCAAATGTGAAGCATCCCTCCTGGGAAGGGATGGCCTCTCTTCTGTATCCTGTTGGTATGTTGTGAAAGCAGTAAATTTGCAGATTCTTTAGTGCTGAGGATTTCATTCCAAATTCTTCTGAATTGTTTAGGTTCCATTTCCATGCCTGAGTATAAATAGATTGTGTTCCTTCTTTCACTGCATGTTTGTACTGATGTGAAAAATCAAGCTTGTATAACATCTTTTTCAAAATTGTTTTTGTGGCACCAAAGTGGACTGGCTAGGACATTCTGGCAAATCAATGAGGGAGAATGATTTTGTTTGTAAGAGTTGGGCGTATTTTCCCCAGGAAATTTGAACGAAGACTTGATGCAAATTTTTACACTGAAAGTTTAGTTTGTTCAGCCATATAATATATAGTAGTAATTCACTTCTGCCAAAACTTTTCGTTGCCTAAAAACTGGGCTTTATTTGCCAGAGATGATGTTATTGGCCCGCCTTTTACCAAAATTTTGTTCTAAAGTGTTCTTTCAACCACAATTTATTTATTTTAATAACTTTATCAGTAAATACCAATACATTAATAAGATAATTGAAGTATATTAGCATTTGTTTAAAAGAAAAACTAGCGTTGGAAGCGTTAGTCTTCTGCGTACTATGTTACTTTTGGAAAGCATCCAGGTTCCAGAACTCTTTAGGGGTAGGGGGACAGGGGCGTGAAGCAGGCTTTCACTCCAGTTTTGACACTTTGTTTCATCTCTTCTTTCAATGTGCTTTAACTTTATCCTTTTTTCCTCTTTTTCTGCCTGTCTCTATCTCATAATCTCTCATATGTCATCTCTCTAAATTTGTTGACTAAACAGTAGAGTACAGCTAGTTCATCTTTGCTGTATTTTTCTGTTGTCAGGGACAGAAGCAGAATTAACATGAAAGTGGCTTAGAAGCTGTAAAAAGTTGCCTTATTTCTATCAGCTGATTTAGCATGGATAATTTGGCTTGGATGGATGTTTTGTTTGTTTCAAGAAAAAGTGAGAAATCAAGAATTGATGTTCTAGCAAAAGTTTTTAAGCTGTGGATGCTATTGGACCCTGGTTACCAGTGACGTTTTAGACTTTAAAGCTTGATGCTTGTAAATGCAAATCCCATTAGAAAATATTTTAATCTTCACAATGTATTCTTTATGAATTGAACTAAACTGCTGTCTTCCAAACCTGAAGATTTTCTTCTCCAACTTTTTTTTAGCTGTGAATTATAGCAAAAAAAATAGCCACTGTGCAAAATAAATTTTGCTTTAGAGATCTAAATTATTTGCTTTGTCATACTAAGATACTTTATTAAATTTATATCTCCCTGAAGGTGCTTGCAAGTCTTTACTTTAAATACTCAGTTTCTTTCGCAAATGGTAGCAACACTTTTGAATCCCATTAGATGCTTTTTCTTTTTGGTATCAGTACTAGATTATATTTTAAGAAGAATAAGGCCCAGCTCCTTCCCAGGGTGAAGAGACCTTTTGGTACTATAGTTCTTAAAGCGGGGAATCACACAAGCAAACTTTAAGTAATACATATGCTGTTTGATCATGAGGTTAGAATTGTAAGGGAAGCAATGTTTGTGGCTACGTATCTTGTTTGTGCATGTAGCACATATCCAAGGATCCAGAAAGGCACCGAGCTACTGGCTCTCACTCTCTGCTTGCTGACATCTAAAGACAGCAAGTAGAAGTAAGATAATGATTCTAGCTTCTCTCTGTCTTGGAAAGCTCTTTGAAATCTTTATTTAAACCTTCCTTTGAGAGAGTTTTGGGATTTTCCAGGTATGGATTCTGTTGGGTACTTCAGGGCTCTCAGCAGTTTCTTTGTGCCTGCAGATTTGCTGAGGCCTAATCAACAAGCTGTGTTCCTCCTGCAGTGTCACCATACATTTGCTGGTTTGCTGGCTTTGGGATTAGTATTAGCATGCTTAAATCTCAAGAATATGTATCATGCTTCTAGTAGCTGAGGACATAGTATGTCCAAATCCAGTGCAGTTCTGGGGGATTAACATTGCAATTTGAGGCAACGCGGCCATGTGTTCTGGATGTTTTGAAAGCTGGAAACTGCTCTCCTCCATCGACTGAAAAAGCGATGTTCTTGTTACTTTCTGGTCTCAAGACGTCAATCTTCTCAACTCCATAGCTTAATTTTTCCAACATTAATGAATAGGCAATGCTTTTTCAGCGTGCTCAGGACAATCATCCTCTTCTCTAGATGGCTCTCTGATCCAAATATTGGTCTCTTTCAACAAGGATTTAGCAGTTGTGTGATATTATTTACAGTCCATCAGATATTTCCTTACATGGCCTAGAGGTACATGTATTACTTGTAGTGGGGTTCAGTACAGGCAAGCTGTACAGTTAATTCACTCTGGTAAGTAATAAAGCTGTATGTGGAGAGGGTGATCTTTGGTGTTTGTGATCATTGTGCTATGATAAACTAATGCCAAATTTAGTTTTAAGGTCTGAAGGATCTAATTTTGCAGAGATTCTGGCCATGGCTATCGGTGACTTAAAGCAACAATTGTGGATACTGTTAGAAGAAAACTGATCTGTATGGGGTTAGCTATGCAGGATTATTACAATAATTCTAGCTTAATCTGTAAATGAATGTGAACTAACTTGAATTGTTCCAATGGTAATCTGGTGGGGGAGGAGTATTTGGATGAAAGTTGGAGTTCTAGCATCGTTAAAATCTCTGCTGGGGAAGAGGGTTGTGGGAAAGACACTAATGCTAATTTTTTGGTCAGAGACAAAAAGTTTAGATAATGAAAATCAAAGTCCTTCAGGTTTTTAATGTCAGACATAGCTAGAGATTTTCCTTTTGGTATTGATTATCATACCTGTCTTATGCCAAGATTAGTTTGCTTGTGTTAAAAATGTGTATTCCTAATTTTCTTACAGCTCTCGTAATGCAAATGATTCACCCAAACAAGTAGAGAAGTTGACTTTAAGTGTGACAATTTGTTGTATTAAAATGAAAGTTTTATTTGTACGTTATATCAATGTTATGATGAGTTTAGTCAAGTTTCTGTACATTTTAAGTTGACTGTATTCTGTTTAAACTGTGAAGAATGTTTCTTTTATTATTATTTCTACTCAGTAGGATGGGAATTTCAACATAACTAACCAGTTAGAAATTACACGTTCTTCTGATGCATCTTATTCTTGTTTGTGGAGGCAGCTTCATCAGCCTTCAAACTTTGCTTTGCCTGGATAAGCTCTTATACTCTTGCAATGCCTACTACTGATGGTGATGGAATACTATTTTCTGAATTTTAGAATCACTGAGACTGGTCAGTCTTTGAGGTACCTGTGGTCATGGCTTTTGAAGTTTGCATGCTCTGCTTTCCTTCTCCATGCACGCTTTTTTTTTTTCTTTTTTCCTTTTGCTTTGTATTTACTAAACATGTTTCCTGTCCTTAATTGCTTATGGCTCATTTCCCAGGGACACAAAAAAAAAGAACTACAACATTCGTTTATAGACGGCAGGCCTAAAACTAGATGCAGTGGTTGGGTGTGGGCATGCGTATGTCAGTGCATTCTGTCTTTTCTTTTGTTTATCTGAGAGGGAACTGAGGCATATTGCACAAATGTATTCCAATAGCATATTGTCCCTTGAGAAGAGGGCTGACAGCAACAATATTGTTGGCACACCTGATGCACATACTTTTAGATGCCTTTAAAAGAATTTAAATATTTAAACTGAAGTATGGCATGTGACTTCTGAGGCATGCCAGCAGTCCTAAACTTGCACAACTGCTTCATGCACAAGAATGAGTGAAAGGTACAAGGGCTGTTTTAAATGGCACTGAAGAAAAGCCACATTAAATGAGCTGATTATGGTTTATATAGCACCCTCTGCTAATTCTCCTGCCCCAGTAATACACTGATTTCATTTTAAGTGCTGATAATTGTGAGTTAGCCATTTAAGTTAAATCCAACTAGATACAGAGGATTTGGCCTTGTTTTGAGTGTTTTAAGTAGATGGGAATTGGCTGAGCAACTTCAGATGTGAACAGTGAGAACTTAGTTGAAGCGTTCTTGAAAAGTGCCGTTTCCAGTTTTTTTCATTCATTTTAGATGTAAAATTGTAGACCAAGGTTTATGTTAAAAGATAAGTTTTAGCAAAGTACTGGTTTTTACTACATATACAGTTTGCCAGTATTAGTGGAACTCTGAGGCTTTTTAAAAAGCACAAGTTCTTGAAAAGCAATCTCTTGATAGGTGCAAAATTGCTTTTTACATAAATAGAATTCTTTCACTATGAGACAATTTTTGAAGCATGTATAGAATTCTTGGTAGTATTTGAGTTAAAAGATGTTATAACAAGGAATTGTAACTATACCTTAAAACAGCAGGAAGGCATTCATTCCAGAAAAACATTTTCTAGTAAGTGGACTATTCTTATTGAAAGGAAAATGTGTAACTAGTTTGATGTAATTTTAAGGGCAAACATGAACGTTACAGGCAGTCCAAAATCACTAGTGGGTTTCGAAGGGCAGCGTAGAGGAAAATTCGGAGGAGGAGATTATTCTTGTAATGGTTTTAAAAAGATACCTTGTATATTCTTACTATCTTGAGTGTTAGAAGTATAACTTCTCTTTAATGGATTTTTTTCCAAGTTTATGTTTTGTCAGGTGTCCCAAATATTTAGGTTTTTCTACCTTTTTAAAGAGGGAGGCTTAGATGAGTAAGTGGCCTGGTGGGAAGCTGAGTTCTGGATAAAACATTCTTTGTATCTGCGGTTTTATGACCCCGGAACTTTCTAGATAGAGATTTTAAATCTGAGGTCATATTCTTTCTCCTCTGTTTCCCTCCCCAAACCTTCAATTGCATGCCTGTAGTGCTAGAAGGAAAATCCAGGTACTCCTTCCTTCCTGGCCCTGCTCATCCCTGGTGAGAGCTGGTAAGAGTGAGCACCCTCTGCTGGCTACATCGCCCCTTTTGTCTCTAGCAGCTAATCTGGGTGTGAGAAAGGTGCATCCGATCAGGTTTAGAGATGCTATAGCAAAGCTGTAGATGGTGAGCAGGGTCCAGTCATTTTCTTACTTGCTGAGGTTTTAATAAGAGGTTGAATTATCTTAAGAGTGTGTTCACAAAAGGCCTTAATTTCTTTTTAATATTAGTGCCTTATACTTTTTAGCCTTCTGCTTTACCTCATCTGTCACTAATACAACTTAATACTGCTAACTGCTGCTACTTTGGTTGTGGGGTCTAAAAGGGTGAGGTGGGCATGCAAACTGATCCTTTGCCAGTGGGGCAAAAGTTTTGTCTTCTGCTCCATGATAGTCAAGGATGCAGTGACCAGTTCAATGCATGTGGCACATTTGTAGTCAAGTCGTTCAATCTGTGTGATCTAGACAGAGTTGTGTTATAAGGGAGTACTTAATTTTGTATAAGAGGAATGAATACAGTTTGCTTAAAATAGTGTTTTTTGTTGAGGCCTTGGCAGACGTTAACTTTCAACGTTAATAGGCTGATACTTTGCACTTTTCATTTTGATTTGTCCCAGCATTTTCCTTTATGGTCCATCATTAGATATTGATCAGTTGAAGCTCATTTTGAGACTCGTTGGAACCCCAGGGCCTGAGCTTTTGAAGAAAATCTCCTCAGAGTCTGTGAGTTTACACTTTGATTGTAATATCTGCCCTTTTGGAAGTCCCAGATTTGTGTGTTGCCCTCCTGTAGTCTGTCTGTAGTATGTGTTGGAATTTCTTTTCTTCCTTTGTTATTCTTTGCTCCTGGATGTCTTTGAGTTCATATGCTGAGTGTTATCTGATCTTTATTCCTCTTAACTTTGCCTATGGTATGATTTCTTCCTTCCATATTCTCATTTTACTGCTTTGTGTTTTTTTTTCTTTTCTTTCAGTTTGTGGGTTTTTACTTCACAATACATTGTATGATCAGATGCTACTGGGGAAGCGTTGTTCACACTTAAGAGCTTGAGACTTGTCTCAGTTATTGCTTCTCCAGATTGCCTACCTAAGGATCTTTCTGGTGAGGGGAACTTTTAACAGTAGCAAGTGTGTCATCCTCTAAACATACACAGTCCCCTTTTGGGAGTTCGTGTATGATTATTTTCTGAAACGCTACTGCCACCATCTTTGGTTTTGTGCTGTAAAATCCCAAATGCCTTTAGGCACTCTTTTGCAGAAGCCATTTCCAGGGTACGCACTATAGAGTCTGCCAAGTATATAAACAATCGTGCCATGCGTTAAAAGGGTACTCCTGTGTGGTGCCTTTTTATCAAGATAACAGCAAAAAGCTGCCTGTAGATTCCTTTTTAAAGGGTGAGCCATATTTTCAGCCATACCATCTTTTCTGTGTTAGTTGATTTTAATCTTGAATTATGAAATTCTGCGAAGGTAGCGTTAAACATCATTTGACTTTACCCGTTTCTGAAAACGTAGTGCATAGGAATCAGACCAAGGGATGCTGTAATGGTAGAGATTAACAAGTCAGCGCACAGCGAGCAATGAACTTGCTTAGAGGTAACTAGCAACGTACTTTAGCAAGTTATCATTGCTGTTTCTGTTCAGTAGTAGATGATCAATGCAGTGGAAAGTGATTAGAAGATTGTTTTGTACTGCAGCTTGTAGAATTTGTCATGTAACAGGGCCTGAGCAAATAAGTAAGTGCAAAACACTGGGGTAGCCGTGAATTGCCAGACGAATTGGTAAACTTGCTAAGTACCATGCCACTTTAAAAAGCCTCTTGGGATATCTCTTGGAATGGTAGAACTGAATTAAATAGGTGCCTTAAGGCATCTGTGAACTGACCCTATGGGACCCTGATGACGGGTAGCCTGGTATTTGAAGTGCAGGGGATTAGTGAGAGACACGAGCTTTAAAGGTTAACTAGGTTAAACACAAGGTTGGTTTGTATATGTAAGACTGAAGTATGGGTGTTTTTTTTTTTCTTTTTACTTTTAGCCTAGTGCAATGAAAAGAAGAATTAGTCTTTAGGTCCAAGTCAAGAGTCTATTTAAAAAAAAATGCAGTGAGGTACTGTTTCTGCTATGTTTTTATGTTATACGAAGATAGCAAAACTATGAAGTATTTGAGGGGCCTTAGTGTGTCACTGTAATGAGTTCTATATTTGTTTTTCTTCTGCATCACTTTCGTTGCTCTTACTTTCTCTGTCCTGTTCATTGACATCAGTTAACTCTGTCTTATGCAATGCTAATGTTTTGCTAATTTTGCATTTATTGCCTTCTGTCACCTTGCCCACATATCAGTGCATTCATGGCTGTTTAGAAGGAGGCGCCAATTGTGAGCTGATTTCACTTTGCACCACAAGGAGCTTCAAAATTTTCTATGCAGAAAGAAAAGAGAATCTTGCAACCAGTGCAGAGGATAAGATTTCTTTTTTTTTTTTTTTTAATTTTGTTCATTTTCCTAGGTTGTATGTAGCTGCAGCAGCCTAGGAAAATTTTTGAGGACTAGCTTCAGCCAAAGGAGATCTCTACTCTGATGGCTTAAACTGTTGGGAAATGTGGAAGTGATCATGTTGTAGTTTAATGCTACTAGTGGCAGACAGAAATGCTTCCTTTCTGTACTGACACAGTTAGCAAGTGATCAGTGATTCTCCATTGTTATAAGTGTTCACTAGTCCAATTGCTAAACTTCTCACAGGTGTTTGACAGGATTAGTGGACCCTGCCTGTTTGGTCTGTGCCTTGTAGTTTGCAGAAGAGATGCTTTGTATGCAGCTGTTTTCTGTTTGAAATGGTTTTTTGCACTGTTTTTAACAAAGCCCTTGACTAGGCACTTAAGATATTAACCAGCTTCAGCAGATCATGCGTCTGACGGGAACACCCCCTGCATATCTCATTAACAGGATGCCCAGCCATGAGGTGAGACCTGAGCAGATGTGGGGGGGTTTGCAGTGCAGGTCATCACTTCTAGTGTTCACTGCTTCTTTAAACAAAATGCTCGCATGTGGCATGGGGTGGATATTGAATTAACTTATCTGCTCTTCAGCAAGATTTTTGTACTAAATGAAAACTTGACATTTGGACAGTGCATACTCAACCACTGATTTTAAGACATGGGAGAATCTGAATGTGAGCTGGTTTTGCATCGCGTGGATGCCAGTTATATGGCTTACCAGCAGCTACCATAAGGATGCAATACTGCACAAGCCTTACTGGGGACTCCAAGGCAGTCAGCTCTTGCAGCTGGTCTTTGGTCTGCGTATATGCGTTTTCAGTCTTGCATGAACCTCGAGTAATGTGAACTCTTCCTTCACTATCTTGAATGGCCTCTGGTCGAGAAAGGGTAACACTGGTGGGCTTAGTACGTATTTAGAGTAAGTAAAGAGGAAGCAAAGTAAGATGACAGGCTGTATGCAACCAGTGCTTCAGGATGATTGAAGTGTACTCTGTCTTGGTGGCTGGGTGGTGTTATAATTCAACAGAATATTTATTTCTGCAGGCAAGAAACTACATTCAGTCTTTGTCTTATATGCCGAAAATGAACTTTGAAAATGTGTTTATTGGTGCCAATCCACTAGGTAAGGCTTGCATTTTAAATTTTTTGCTCTTCCTGGCATTAAGAGTCTTACAGATTGTTAATGAAGGTGAACTTAGCATGTCCTGGGATACTAAGACTTTTCTCGAGTTTTGTTTTGACTGCAAATGGCGTTTGGAAAAGAGAAACGTGCCCTTTTGAAAGTGTAGAAAGTATGTATAGTCTATAGGAAATGAGAGGAAGAAATTGTGGATGATGAGGCAGGTCCTGAAAACTATAGATTCCTCATATATATTGGGCTTTTATGAGCTTAACTGCGGAGTAAAATGTCTCACAGCTCACTGTTGTAAAATCCTTTCTTTTCTGTTTTGGGGCTTTTGCAGCTGTGGACTTGCTAGAGAAGATGTTGGTACTGGATACAGACAAACGAATTACTGCAGCTGAAGCATTGGCTCATGCCTATTTTGCTCAGTATCATGATCCAGATGATGAACCAGTGGCAGACCCCTATGACCAGTCTTTTGAAAGCAGAGAACTTGAGATTGAGGAATGGAAAAGTGAGTCTTGGGAACAGGGGAGAGCGTCAGCCTGATTCTTTTGTGGCACGTGCTGTAAGCTGCAGTTCAACTAACCCTTGGGAGTTAGAGGCACAAAAGCTGATGAGAATGCTGTGGGCATCCTGTTGGTTCTAAGGTCCTCATACTGAGTGACTCTATCACATTGTGTGTATGTAATTAGCATAATCCGTGGTAACTAATTATTATTATGAGCATCCAAACATGTAGGTAACACAGTTTCAAACTTATTCACGTGTCCTCAATGCTCTGGAAGTATCTTTTATTATGTATGTTAGTCTCTGAGGTGGTATATCCATTTTTTTTTTCTTAATTAAAGCATGTTTTTCTTTTTGAAATATTGCTAGGAAGAACCTTTAAGATTATTGCAGGTCTTCTCACATGAGGTATATCTTTAATGCAGTCTTAAGTTTTTGTCACTCCTTTCCCACCAGGCTTGACTTATGATGAAGTAATCAGCTTTGTGCCACCACCGCTTGACCAAGAGGAGATGGAGTCCTGAGAAACTGCTCTCTTCTGTTTGTCCCACTTCACTGTGAGGGGAAGGCCTTTTCATAGGGACTCTCCAAATATTCAAGTGCCTCGTCACAACAATATTCTCCTTGGTGGAGGGGTTTTGTGTGTGTTGAATTGGGGAGGGTGGGGGGAGGGAAGAAAGTTGAATCTATGTAAACATGCTGCATGCTCTCTTGTATTCTGTGTACAGCCTGGGACTAGCCTCTGAAGACCTGTTCTGACTGCTCTTGACTCCTTCCAGAGTGACAGTGGTCAACCAGTTTGCACCACTGCTGGGGCAAGGTGGGGAAGGTGACTAAATTAAAGTTTGGTCACAATCATTGCCATTTTACCAGTTCCTCTACAGTTAAGTAACCTCACAGTAGTAGAAGTTGGTTATAGACGTAAGAGTCCTCCGTTTTCTTCAGGACTCAAGGTGGAGTTGAGGTATGCCCTTGTTCCATGCCAGGTGGCTGATTTACATCCAGATTTTCCTGGCATGGTGTACAGCAGAATGTACAGGCCTTCTAATGACCGTCTTTGGAACATGAGCAGGTTTTGATAGAAATTGTAAATATGTTTGTGCCTTAAACTAATGGGGAAAGAGAGGAAAGGAAGTCTGGAGTGGAAATCTGACCCTGCTGTTTTTCAGGGTGAGGTTCCCAGATAGCCAGGCATGAACACTATGTAATCAGGACATAACCTTCCAAGGCAACAGTGTCTCTCCCTGGATTGGGTATTCCTGTATTTCTCCCTCTTCCCCTCCTTTCATTCTGAGGCTTCCCAGCATTAGTTCCCAGGAAAGAGAGGCTGGAGAAGGTTCTTGCTAGCCACAAGTTTGTGTATTTTGTTCCTTAAGAGGTGGGGTGTTTTTGCATGTCATAGCTGTATGTGCATGTAGAGCTACTTGGTTCCTGTTTTTATTTTTTGGGGATGGCACTGGGGCAGTTAAATCATCAGTGAGCTATTTTACTGAGTACCTCAGCCAGTGCCATGAAATCATAGCATCCTCCCTCTTGTGCTGCAGCTCAGTTGTGAAATACCTGTCATTCTGAAGGCTCTGATGGGAAAAGGATAAAATATACAGCATATAAACACGCACCTTTTTCTTTGTTCTGGTCTTATGGTTTCAGAGAAAGAGAAATTGGGATGGAAGTTTTCTTGTGAGATCAAGTGTAAAAAAAAGTTCTTCAAAGAAACAACTAGCATCTTGTGCTGGAATTTAAGTTATTTCCTGAAAAGAATTTTTTTTAGAATGTTGGAATCCAGAGGAAAGAAATAAGCATGTGTAAAACCACAATCTCTCTTTCACTGTCTAGAGCTATACATCCATCCATATATATACACACATATATATATGTATGTATATAAAACTAACATTTTACTAGAGGTTCTTTTACCTTCTTGGACAAGAGCTGCTTGGCTGCTTTTTAGCTGGTTGATCTCTGCCTGAGGAAATGGGAAAAGGGAGTATGTTTGAATACAATAATGGTTCATATATTTTGTGTTTTACAGGACTCCGAATGAATCAAATGCCCAGAGTTAGAGACTGGCAGGAGGGAGACTTTTTCAGCATTTTTGTTTGTTAGAACTCTACCTGAGGAGCTCAGGAGCCCAATTTTAGGACTTGGGGAGGAGGCATTTTTAGACATTCATCTGTTGCAGGCATCCTGTGTGGACAATGTACCTGTGTATGTGAGGAGACAGGCTTTTGCAGTATTTTGTATCCTTGTTACTTATGGGATGGAGAGAAACCATTTTTAGTGTTTTTACCCTGTGTTTGAAGAGGCAGCACAAAGGGATGGGACATGAGTGATAAAGCCATTGATTCTTCCTAGGCTACTTTCCAGTGATCTCTTCAGGTCATATACTCTACAGAAGTTTGGGGTGAGATGGAGAGAGCAGTTATTTCATGCTCTGGGATAGAACTCTTCCCCAGACCAACAAAATCAAGACAGAAAACCTCCCCTTTCTGCTGGACCAGCAGTCCAGGAATTCAAATGAAAATGTAGATAGTCTCTGTAAACCTACGGCAAGATTATTTTTATCAGCCATTTTATGTGTAGATGCTACAGTGTGATTTCATGCGGAAATATTGCTAAAGATTTTTTTTTAAATATAGACATTGTGCGTGTGTGTGTATGTGTGCGTATGCGCGTGTGTGTGAGTGGGAAGTCCGTACTCTAATGGGAGCCCATGTGGCATGCACTCCCTACCTTCAGTGCAATGCTGTTCAGCTGCCTGGAAACTGAACAGGAGGATGCACTTCAAAGAAGAGATCTGCTATATTGTTTCTATCTATGAATTTTGCTGTAATTGGTTATGCCAGATAAGATGTCACAATACCACTGGTTTAAAAATAAAACCTATTTTTCAGATTTACTGGGCTGATGGTACTTACAAACCTCTCGTGCTAAACATTTTGTTTTAGCAAGGTATGAATCTCTCACTTGTGTCATACAGGAGCTTGTGTATGATAGTAAAGGCGCAAGGTTAGTTAGCTCTTGACCTTTTTTATTACTCTGTCTGCTTACGCTAGACTTCTGTGTCCATATTTCTCCAAGGTGAATTCTTTGACTGATACAAAACTAGCTTATAGTCTGAGCATGAGTACTGGAAGCAGTAAAAGTATTTTTATTCTCTGTTTAGTCTAGGAAGGACTTTATTCAACATAACAGACCAGCATTCTGCTACTTGCCCAGACCTGGGTCCCTTTCTCAGTAGTACAGGGTTTTTGTTTTTTGTTTTACTCTTTAGAGATGAATTTTTCTCTTGCTCCTCAGCTGTCGTCAAGTTGGTGGTGGAAAAGATACTTACGGGAGCAAGAGACTTCCCTAAGAGCAATCAAGGCTGTCCGTAACGGAGATTTTAAACTTCTGTCATGTATCCGTGCCATTTGTTCAGAAAAACAATCAGAAGAATGGCTGAATAAAGCTGCATTCTTCAAATTCTCTAATAAAAGCCTCAATGTTTGAAGTTCCCAGGTATTGATAAAACGAGGAGACACACATCGATCCAAATTAGATAGCTGTATATTTATACAACTTTTACACTCACCTGTCACAAAGCTGTACAGTAGTTGATTTGAATAGTTAGGAAGATCTTTTTTTTTTTTTTTTTTCCTTGACTACTAAGAAGCTACCTTTCTGCTTGTTTTTTGCCTTTGCTCACTATGGTGCAAATCAAGAGGGGAGGAAAAAATACTAAGCAGGACATGTCGTTCATTGTTTTCTGGAGGGAAAACGAACAAACAAGAAAACCCAAGATACAATTCCTGAATGTGCTCAGTTGTAATATTAACCTGGTTAGCAAAAAATAATAAAATTAGCGAGAATCAAATTGGAAAACAATAAATTACAACTACAAAATGGAACGATTACCTCAAGGTTTCCTATTTGATTTTAAATTGGTTGCTTGACTCAATTCATCTCGCTACAGCTAAGACATGTCCTAGATATTTATAACTTCTTAATTGTGCACTGATTAACTCTGTGTGTGTGTGTGCGCGCGCGTGCGCGCGCACAGATAGTTGAGCAAGAGATGTGTGTTAAGCAAAAATACAACTCATTTGTAATTTTTTGTACTGGTAGTTTTTGCTGTAATACTGCTTGCTCACAGATATATTTATAGAACCAAACCAGTCTTTTGTTTATTTCCTTACTGTAGTGTTGCTATAGCCAGGGTAGAGTTTGTTTACATCTGTATGCACATGCAAATTTAAAATTTTAACAGCACCTTATCCCTAATTTGTTTTTTTACGTGAAAGAGACCTTTCCCATTGCTGTTTCAAGAACAGTATATGTTGCAGTGGTCACCTACACCCAGGTAAAATGAATCTTCCCTTGAAAACTGATAGTACCATTTTCCGTAATTTCTACTTATCAGCTATCTAGACATGCTGAAAGCAGGAACACCTTACAGTTAGTAAGCTAGTAGGGGATACAAGTGGAAATGAGTGCTGGGGATGTAGGGTAAAGCTGGTCTAGCTTGCCAGGACACGACTTAGTCACTTCCTTTGGAAAGTATGTAAGATGGACCTTCAGAGCACCACCTCATTCTTGTAAAGCCAGAACAAAATATTGAAGCATTCTCTGCTTACCAGGAGTAGGTCTTCTCCTACAGGCCGTCTGAGTTTACTGGTCTGGCGTGGTACCACTAGACAGAGCAGTAAATTTGTCTTTTTTGCTGTCCAAGAACACCTGAGAAGGGGTTAGACCTGCTGCAGGAAACGGAACCGGAACAATTTTAACAAGACCCAGCAAAGCCTCGAGCGTGCACAATTCTCAGGATGGTCCCATCACAGCAACTCTGGAACCTGCGGTCACCTGACGGCAGTGGAGAGCCTCAGCCTGCTTTTGCTGTGTCTTCTCTGCTGGGAAACCAGGCCAGGAGCTTAGGAGAAAATCACCATCATTTCCATGCTCTTCTGTGAATTCTCCCAGTGATCAAACTGACACCCAAAGCTCCTGGTGTCCCTCATCATGAGTCTGGAACAGTCCTCCATCTGCTGGAGAGAAGAATGTCCCTTCTTGTCTGACGCGGTGCTGTGGTTTGTCGTCTGCGTCAGACATCACCCCAGATTCCACGGCTCAACAGGTCCTTACTCATCCACTTGTTCAGAGCAGTGATTTCACGAGACCCCTTCCTAGCCCCACGAAGGCATTTCTTGGTGTGCACTGGCAGCCTGATTGCTTTCCCTGCCACTCGTGGGAGAGGCAGGAGTGGTGAGAACAGCAGACGGAAGGTTGCAAGTCACTGAGGGGTTCCTGAACGGGGACTGCCTCTCTGTTCCTGCGGAGAGCTTGCCGTGGTGCGCGTGAGCTGGAGGTGTGTCTGCGCTGGGGCTTAGTGCTCCCAGCTCCTATAGGAGAGTCCAGAATTACCTGTGTAAGGTCAAGGCGTGTCTGACTGGAAACCTGATGCCTCATCTCAGCCAATGTGGAGGCGGAGGGAGGAGGGCTGAGACATGTACCTTCATGCTCACAACAGCTGAAAACAGAGAAGGAAACTAGCTAGAGCTTTTTTTACGGGCACAGAAGGCCTTGGAATCCTTGTCTCCCCCAGAAGTCCAGCTGTATTTCAGTACTCTGGGGGGGTGTCACTCCCACACTCGCCAGGCGATGAGCATCGCAAGGAGAAGAGGCTTTTGTAGACAGGAAGTGAACAAAACCATCTGGGAGCTGCCCAGGAGATACACGTCCATCCACCCTGTGGGGTCCGGGGCCTACGGCTCGGTGTGGTGAGTGAGGGTCCTGCCTGCCTCTGGGCAGGCGGAAACAAGGGGCAGGCTGGGGGTGTTTAAAGTATCACTCTGGGAGCGGGGGGAAACGAGGCGGTTCTTCTTAGCTTTCATAATGGAGGGGTGTTATTTGCATGTGTGATGACAGTGGTTTGTCTCCTGCCTACCTCAGTTGCCTTAGTGTGAGTAGTTACAGGCTGTGGTTTAGAGACTTGGTTGCTTGAAGAAAACAATGTTTCCTCTCTGCCCACCCAGAGTAACCATAGGAGGAGAGAGTCTCGTCTCATATCTGCGCTCTCACCTGTGCAGGCTTCCTGTTCCTCTTAGCTGACACCTGGACAGGCAAATCTTGCGGAGCAGTTTGAGGGAACAGGAGGTAGACAGCGCTGCCACGTGCAACAAAACTGGCTTGTGATACTACCTTGACTTTGGGAGCCACGGAGCCTTCAAGCTTGCCTTAGTCTCTAGCCTGGGTAAAGGAAGGCATTTTGTCAGTCTGCAGCAAGGGGAAAAAACCTCCAATATTTGAAAACAGTTAGTAAATACTAGGAGAGCTGGGTACTGGAACAAAGCACCAAACCTCTAGAGACAGCGATGGATAAGGCATGTCCTTCACAGCATGCTTTCAGTAACAGGTCAGACAAACATTAGTTGCTACTAGTCCGAGGCGGTTGATGTCAGACTACCTAGGGAAAGAAATTGGATAATACGACTTCTTGTTACTGCTTCCAACTTGAATTCAGAAAATAGTTAAGACTTATTTTAAACCGGCATCAGGTAAAAGATTGAAACTTCCTGCCGGGTTGATGATAATCTTCCACCTCCAAGAGAGCAGCGTGAAGCTGCTGTTAATTAGCTGGGCAACGATGCCTGTAGCAAACACAAAAAGTCAGATCTTGCTTTGTTATGCTGCTGCCAATCTGGGAAGACTCTGCTGACTTTTAGAAGAGTTAAATGTGAAACAGCCCATTGATAGTATCTGAAGCTAATGCTTGTTTCATAACATGACAGGCAGAGCAAAAGAGGTGTGTCCCTTTTTCCAGGTGTTCTGCAAAGTATCTCTTATGTTTGTCACTGCAGGAATCCCGAAACCCTAGGGCCTAAGTTCTGGGTTTGTCCCCTGGCTGCCTATTTATGGCACACAAAGAGACACTGAATGTTTTCTTTTTCTGCTTTGTCTTTTTAATGTGCAAGGTGTGTTTCTGAGACACTTAAGTGAGTTCAGCAAAATCAGGAAAGACTCCACTTGACGCTTTTGATATTTGTATTGTTTTCTGTTTTTTATTTTAAAAAATAGTCAAATAGGAAGGCTTAAAAAAAAAAAAGAATAAGGGGTAAATGAACGGACAAAAACGTGAAGAAAAATCCTTCTAAGCTCTCCCTCCCCACCAGGAAAAAAAAAAAAAAACAGCAAAACAAATCTTTTACTGGTCTCTGAATGTCTCAGCTGCTCTTGAGAATCTCAAGGCAGGATGGGTATGCGCTAAACTAGACTCAGGGTACTGGATGGTATTAATTTGGCGCAGACAATGCATGCTGGACTCAGCAGGTTTGGTGCCCATTCCTGTGCAAAGTACAAGTCGAAGAGTGTGGAGTTAGGATTTGCTGTCCTCTGCTGGGAATTGGTGGGAAGCTTCTTTCTATCGCAGCATTATAGTCAAGCTGCCTGCTTTTACAGGTTCTTGAGTGGTCTAGAATAGCTGAGCAATTGATTCAGGAAAAACAGGAAAGACATGTTTCTTCCCTCATTAATTCTTCTGAAATCTGTAGCAACTTGACTTTCAGCTGAATGTAACTGCAGAGAGTCTTCTAATATAGCAGGTGTTGATGTTGCCAACCTCTGTCAGCAGAGCCAGGGACAGTAGCTCTGTCCCTTGGCTTTCAGCATAGCTGTCGGTACGGCATGCTTGAGCACCTCGGGTCCCACGCTCTGCTAAGAGCTTCAGCTGCACTCCAGACCACCTCTGCAGGCCTGCAAAGTGCTTGTGTGACCTTGTCTCGAGGTTGGCCTTGGTGTCATCCTGAACTTCCAGCTATTCATTAAACCTATGCTGGTAAGAACATTGTGGGCAACATCTCCCCAGCTGTGTCAGCTGAATTAACTCTTAGCTATGCCTATGGCAAGGGTGAAAGTCATGCTGTTTATGCTGGGTAGGCTGAAGCTACATCACCCGGAGTCTCCTGTGTTGACAAACTGTTGAATGGTGGGGTTATATATTTGCCTTGTAGGCCAGAAGCTAGGAAGGGAGGAAAAAACACATGCTCTGAGGATAGGAAACCTGGCTTGGGTTCTGCAGCAGTCCACAGAAGCTGTTTGACTATGTGGTCCAAGTCATTTCCCCTTATTTCCCTTGCTCCTCAGAGAATTTCCAGACTGTGCTGCCCCTTCTGTTGACACCTGCTGAAGTCCTACTGAAACTGAGATAAATTGTCACTTTTTTCATAAGATATACTCTTATGTTATCTCTTCAGCACTGGTGCTGCCTTGTGTAGCTATTCCAGCACTTCCTTTACTTTTTCCAGCTGAATGTTTTGGCTACATCACTCGTACCGAAGCTGTCAAAGGATACATCTGCTCTCATCACGCTCAACTTAGAGCAGCTAGAAGGGACCCCAGTGGCCAAAACCAGAGAGATTATCTGACGGTATCAGAGATGATGTCTCTGCTCACTAGATGAAAACTGTTGATAGGCCAGACCGCTGGAAAACACATCACAACTGATTACTTGTGGGCAGCAATTAAAGCAAGCTATTTAACAGGCTTCCAAGAATTGTAGCAAGGAACTGTTAACCTCTTTTCAGCATGAACCCAAATGGAAAGCCATGCTGAGCAGGATATTCCAGCCTCCCCTACTTCAAGTCTGCCCTAAACCCAGTGAAATGCACCATTTGACTCTGATACCCTGTGTTATTATTATAGACTAGTATTTTTCTGTTTATTCCATTTATGAAGGCTTTGCCTTTGCATCTGAGTGACAGCTTTGGAGATGACTGTAACGTTGCCTCTGCCTTACAGTTTTATGTTACTTGGCCCTCCCAGGCTCAGAGAGCCCTGAGGAAGGAGCTGTGGCTGGAGCCTAGCAGTGGGGGTGAATCCTGCATCTCTTTGGAGAAGGAAGCAGAAGGAATGTGTCTGTGTGAGGCTGAAACTGCCTGTGGAGGAAGCGTGCAAAGTGCTAGTACTAACATTCACATGGGCTTGGTTACACGCTGTACAGCTAAAAGCCATGGAAATAAACATGCCAGTTTATTGCCCTTTAGTTTCCCTGTGAAGATTAGATAAGGATTTGCAAAGCAGTGGGAACTGCTCTGGAAACCCAGAGTGAGGTTTGGCTTGGAAAGCCTTTATCTGTTTGCCTCTTGAAGAGGTCAGGGAAGGGCTGAGGCAGCGATACATAAGGGGGTGCATGGACACTCCCTTTCATAGCCCTGAAAAAGCAAGATGTAAGATGGAGACAATGCTGCCTTACAAGTGATTCCTGAGAGTGTATTGCATTATTAATAAATACTTTGACCTTAAAAAACATCTCAAAGTATCAGATATTGCTCTCTCTACCTCTCTGTGACAGGACAGTACCAAAAGCCACACAATGCTTCCCACATTCTGAACACTTTGCAAGTACTAACTTACAGATTTTAAATCCGCGTGCGAGTATTACGACCTTTAGAGTAACCTTGTTTTAATAAAGTCAGTTTAACTTTGTTGTCTCAAATTTGTAAGACTGTGAGACTCGTAAAATACTACTATTTTACCTTAAGTCAGAGCAGGGCTAGGAGCAGAAAGCTGAAGGTTCCTGGTTTCCAGTTCTGAAATTTAAATAGAGAACACACCTCTCTCAGCCTTCTCTCCAGCTAAGGCTGCTGTGCTATGTTTTCATTAGCTTTATAGAAGAATCTCACTGTCAGCCTAGGATCTGCTTTTATACAGAAGTACTTATACAGCATCAAAGATTCTGGATTCTGAAGAATTAATTCCAGTAGCTTATGTTTTCAGAGTGTGACACCCACTGTCTTTGTTCCAGAAGACTGTGAAGAAGGTTGACCCACCTTAAAAGACAGCAGCCTCCAGGCAGATGGCAAAGCAAAAATTGCTTTATTCCCTTATCTTTGTGAGTTAAGGAAGGGAAAGGCATACGGGGCAGAATTTTAGCTAATCCTGACCTTTAACCCTGTGTTTCTCCCTCTTCTCACTGCTCTGTTAGCTCCAGCTTATTTCTGCAGGTTAAAGTGAGTGTTAAAGGGAATGAAGACTAGCCACTAATAATTTACTTGGCGTCCTGTCTAGTCCTCGCGTACGGAACTCCGCTATATTTCTCTGCCAGCCCAGAAAGATCAAGGGGCCTGCCTTTGCTGCTCCTCTGTGAAGTCCAGAATTGGCTCTTCTCTAGAAGGAAACTTGTTTTAGTATTGTAGTATAGTATTGTTAAAACATATGGCCGATGTCACAGCTGGTTTGTATTTGTTTGCTGCAGTTCAGCCATAGACAAGAAGACAGGTGAAAAAGTGGCCATCAAGAAGCTGTGCCGCCCGTTCCAGTCAGAGACCTTTGCCAAGAGAGCGTACAGAGAGCTCATGCTGTTGAAGCATATGCAACATGAGAACGTAAGTACTTATTTCTCTCCGTTCTGCTGAAGCAGGGGGAACCTTCTTGCCGACTGGGAGCAAGTCCTTCCTGGCAGCAGCACCTTTGTTTTGAGACGTCCCTGCTTTTGGCGCGTGCGGGTAGTCTTGGGGTTTGTAACTGCCACCTGCCTACTGCGCCCAATTGGCACGGGGCTTGAACAGATGTGTGAAATGGGTGCTCCCGTGTATTAGTAAGAGGAAACGTAGCTGCACGTCATAGCGATAGACTTCTGAATGGTCACACATGTGCCAATAGAGAGCTGTTACATGAGTCCTACTTACACAACAAATGCTTTTCAGGTTTAAGTGTGAACTTCTTTTATCCGTCAGGTCATTGGGTTGCTTGATGTCTTCACGTCTGCCCCCTCTTACCATGGATTCCAGGACTTGTAAGTTTGGGGTTGCTGTGCGTTCACTCTATCTAGATTCAGTCATTGACCAAGATGCTTGCAGACTTGACGGCTGAATGATACATCGTTTTGAGGTGCAGATCTGCAGGCTGATTTGTTTTTTAACACACTAAAGCCAGACATCCCCAAATAACAAGGGGAATCAAAAGCAGAGGTCAGTTCCAGTGGCTACAAGTCACAGAATACATAAATGGATCACACATGCCACGTCCACAGCTGGCACAATGCATCGTATGTGAACCAACACATATAACCAAGAGGCATTACATTCCATGAGTATGTCATATGTAGCATGATATATGCTAATGCATTGGCAATGTGACTGCTGAACTGTAGTCAGAATGGGAGCAGTATCATTTATCAGGCCACAGAATAATTAAACTGAGAGAATTTTAAAGATCTGACTTATTTTTGACCTTGATTCCGGCTATTCTTTTTTTTTTTTTTTTGGCATTTCTCTCAGTTTTTGATGGTCGAGTTGGACCAGTCAGTTTCACTTCCCAGTCCTTGGGCACTGGCAGCACATGCCTGGGTTTGGATTTCGGCTGATGGCTGCGTATTTAGCCATCTGCACATAAAGTGTTTGATGGTTCTCACTGCGGTTCCCACTGGAGGACTGGCAACTAATTAGCAGTCTCAGCAGGCAGGCCAATGACTGAATAGAGCTAGATGTTTTCTGAGGCAGAGTTGAAGAGTATTACAGGAATAAATTTGGGACCCAATGCAGCAGTTTTGCAAGACTCTAAAGCTGCACAAGATTTTTCAGCTATCAGATGATGTAAGACAACCTGGAAGACAATCTGAGGTCTAAAGTAAACTAATTCAGGACCGTTAAAGTTTGGAAAATCCTTGTTCATGTTTGATGTCAGGTATCCAATTTGAGGAGGAGGAGAAAGCAATTTTCAGAGCACATAGATGGCCTGCAGTGATGCTGGGATTTCTTAGTTAGCCAGGAACATCGTTACAACAGCCAGTCTTAGTTGCAGTTAAGTTACGCAGTTGCAGGAGCAAAACAAGTGAGAACAAGGCTAGCTTCGTTCCTTATGTTTTTCTTCTAGACTCAGGGCCTTGTCTTACTGCCTTTTAGCTACCTGGTGATGCCATACATGCGGACAGATTTACAAAAGATCATGGGACATGAATTCAGTGATGAAAAGATCCACTACCTGGTCTACCAAATGCTGAAAGGGTTGAAGGTAGGTGGGTCTGGAGACGCTACAACAAGGCTTAGATACCAACAGATGCGGTGACTCACTCTGTCTCCTCTAGGAGTAGATCTTGTTCTGTATCACCTCGGGGCTGACCGCAACAAATAACCTTTTGAACATCGTATAGGAAGATTTGTATTTTTAATGGCATCCACTGATAACAGATATTTGTTACTGAACTATAAGAGTTCAGTATGAACTATGAAAGAGCAAAATGAGTGCTCTTTCACATTAGTCGATCAGTTATCGACACAATCCAGCAGTCACAGACCTTGTGATGGTTTTCCATGACAGCAGTTGGACTTGCCAAAACTCCTAGAGAAACTGTATGTGGAAAGTAAGAGGCTTTTAGCAAATGGCGCTTCTGTTAAATTCTTTATTCAGGCTCTTAGCAGAGAAGACAGAAGGAATAATTTTCTATCCAGTACAATGAGCAAGGAATATGCTTCTTTTTTAACTGGCACTGGGGGAACAGGAAACAGTCGCTCCAAACCCTGAAATGTAGAGATAATGCTCCCTTCTCTAAAACCCTTCAGCTAAAGTCAAAACAGTGGTTTAAAGGCATTAATGAGTTCACCTTAATAACACCTTTCTCCAGATCACCATTATCTTGACTTCAAATAAAGGGGAGAAAGAATATACAAAAGGTTTAACTGGTATGACAAAAACCATGTAGTTAGTCTTTGAAACAGTAACTTCACTCCTAATTTTGTGTTTTAATGAAGAGATTAAATTTTTCATGTGGTTTAACACACAGAACAACAAATTTTTCATGTCATCTACTGACCACGTTCCTATCTGTAATTCTAGTTCCTTTATTTGATAAATTTTAAGCTATTAAAATGTTTACTTACTCTAAGGAACTATTGTTCCATATCTCCTCTTCTGCTCTATGCCTCTTTAGGCTGGCAGTATAATTGCAAATGCTATCAGAAATTCAGTGCAGAGATTCCCTTTCAGGTTGCTGGCTAGGTCATTTTCTTTTGGGAGACGTTATTTCTCCTTCGTGACTGTAACCTCTATTGTGGAGCTATGCACTGAGGGCCAGGGGCTTGCAGAAGGTTCCAGAGACTGTGTTTTCAGCAAGTTCTTGCTTGGGTGATCATATTGTGGCTCCTCTTTTTATTTCAGTACATTCATTCTGCTGGAATCATTCACAGGGTAAGTAAGTTCATGTGTACTACTCCTCTAATGTTGTCTCTTTGAGAGAAACACAGCTCAGTCATAAAATTAACAAACTCCTAAACATCATTTCACCAGTAGTCTCGTCTTTTCTTAGTCCTTGGAGTTCTCCCTCTTTTTCCCTCCTACACCTTATACTTGTTTGGATTTGCTCTGTTACCTGTGCAGTATATTTTGAGGAAATGATGTATTTTCTGACAAGCTAATGTTTTTGGAATGAAAGCAGCTTCAGAACAAATAAAACAGTTTCCATAATCTAGAGCTGTACAGTATACCAGGCAAGTTGTTTTTGCTGTATTGATGGTGGATTCAGGATGCTGTGGTACACCATCAAAGGCAAGCTGAGATTTGACTAAATCTCATGCGGATGAGCTGCAGGTCATAATGTCCTTATTATTCTGATCTTGTCCGTTTTAGGACCTGAAGCCAGGCAATCTGGCTGTCAATGAAGACTGTCAACTAAAGGTAGGTGAAAAAGCACGACTTTGCAGCTTGTAGCATGTAGTGTATCAGATTGCTGCCGAACTGCTTTGTGAGCAGGAATCCTGGCATTCAGGCATCGTCATGTTTCCTCTTGTGTCCTGAGACTTGATTCAAGGTATTTCATTACACGCTGGTTGGAGTCAGTGGGAAACACTCACCTGCTTATGTAACTTGCTGAATCAGGGCCCGAGACTTGGTATGAACATCCTGTCACAGTAATTCTTGCTGTATTGAAGTTCATGATGACTTCCTAAATAAATTCAATGCCGCTGAGCAATACTTGCGTTAGACGAATGATCCCTGAAGGATAACTGAATTCAAGCACAGTTACCCTTTGGTTCTCATTGACTAGGACTAGAAACAGGATGGTTGTGATTCTAAACAAAGTTATTTTCAGCGTTGCTGTAAAGGAATTGCTTACAGCTCTGTGGCGTGATGGTCTAGCAAACATTCTGTCACGTATGTAACAGGGAGTGGCTCTGTTGTCTGTAGAGGTTGGGTCATACCCACGTTCATTTTCAGTATCGTGGGAGAGGTCATCCCCTGTCAGCTGCAGGGTGTTTTTGTAGAATATGGTGAGTCGTGTTGGCCTGGGAGCGTACCTAGGCCTCCAGGTTATAGAAGAGCTCAATTTAAAAACTCAAGAGTTTAAACTTAAGTTTCAAGATAGGAAGTGACATTCCAAGTAGCGCACAACACGGATCCCTTTCCTCAGGGTCTTCACACGACAACTGGTTTTGCAGCCTGCTTGCAATTTACAGTGGAATTAAGGCAAACCTGTTAGTTCTTTGAACCATCCTGTGGGTGGCTCTGGTATAGTAAGAACTTTATTATTATCTGATTGGATCTGTTTCATTTCCTCATAGAAGTAGATTCTCACTTGCCTGTAGGATTTCTCTTTTCTTTCCTGCCCTTCCTTCTCCCTTTTCCTTTGGTGACCTGCAGATTTTAGACTTTGGCTTGGCGAGACATGCGGATGCTGAAATGACAGGCTATGTGGTTACACGCTGGTACAGAGCACCAGAAGTCATTCTGAACTGGATGCATTACAACCAGACAGGTGAGTTGCATTGCTTCAGCTGTGTGACTGTCTGGTGGCAAGCTGAAAGATCCCCCTGTCATGCCTGGGTCAAATCTCATGTAATCTTCCAGATGTTTTTGTTCTTTATCATCAATGTCTCTCCTAGAGCAGAACTGGGCTGACGCAGCCCCAGCTGGACTACTCCCAAAGTTAGTGCTTGTGGGAAAAGATGAAGGCAGGGATTGTAGTAGCATAGAAAGAACAGCGGAGGGTGGAAAATGAGAGTGAAATTGAAATCAGTGCCTTCTGCAGACTGAAAAGGCAGGAGACAGCCCCCAGCAATCATTTCTTTCTTCAAGCTTGTGTCATTCTTTTTTTCCTGTTTCTCCCTGAACAGTGGATATCTGGTCTATTGGCTGTATCATGGCAGAAATGCTGACCGGGAAAACGCTGTTTAAAGGAAAAGATTGTATCCTTTCAAACTGAACCTGTTTCCTGGGGGGGGCAGTGAATTCTTGGCACATGTGAAAGTGCTTTTATGAATATGAAGCTACTGAGAGAAAGGGTATAGGTCTGGTGTACCAAGAGGTAGTCACAGGGGACTAGTGGGGTCTTCTTAGTGAGGGAAATAGTGGAAGGGCCAAGCCACCCCTAGAAATAGATCTCTGTGCTGGCTACATGCACCTTACATCAAGTAGCTAACCTTGCATAGCCACAGCTTCATCCCCAAACCCTTGCATGGGGAGATCCCGAAACCTATGGGCATATTCCCCAGCAGAGTTGTGCCAGCAAAATTCTCTGCTGATGAAGGTGTGCCAGCAAAGGAGTCCTTTTGTGGACAGATTGCGTCTCAGGAAGAGAAGCTGTCTTTGAGTTCTTTTTGCCAGTATAGTGAGTTTCTGCTTGTGTATCTCTATGGGGTTCCTATCATAACACGCTCATAGCTCTCAGAGGTCCTCAGGCCTTCCTGCACAAAGAATTGAGCTACGGGGTGGGGTCTGGGGCTTGCTCCTAGATGGATAATCTTTAATGCAGCATGCCAGACCTAGATCAGCTGACTCAGATCCTGAAAGTAACGGGGTATCCAGGAGAAGATTTCGTGGAGAAGCTGGAAGACAAAGCGGTAAGAAAGCTCACTGTGGCTATTATTCAGGGCCTTGCTGCCAGAGGCATGGTGGAGAGGGATTGACTTTACAGCTTCTTTGAGATGGGAGGGATGTTGCTTTTAAATCAGTCATTGGAACAGGAGAGAGAGAGAATCTTTCCCTCCTGCTGAGGAAGACGTTTCTCTTTATTAGCGGCACATCTGATGTATTTGTCCTTAATGTTTAATGTATTGCCTTGAGAACGGGGGTGATTGTAGGGACTGGAAGTTAAGATGCCTAGGTAAGATGCTTCATGGCTCAGCAAAGCATCTCCCTCCTTTGTTCTTCAATCTGGCCATTTTCTAGATGGGAGTATTTCTGTATCTCAAAGAACTGATAAAAATAGTTCCTCACAAGCTGGTCACTGAAGTGTGACATCTAGGATAATTTGCTGTTCTTTTCTTTCTCCATTGCTCATCTAGGCCTAAACCAAAAGCTCTATTATATACCCCCCCTTGCACTTGTCCAGTTGCAGTAAATGTGTGTGCTGTGCTTTCCTATTTCTTTTAGGCTAAAAGTTATATCAAGTCCCTTCCAAAAATTCCCAAGAAGGATCTGTCTGTGCTGTTCCCCAAAGCCAATCCTCAGGGTAAGCCATCTTCAGTATTTCTCACACATTTTTACTGCTGGAAATAATGTAGGCTGAATGCCCCAGCTGCAGTTTTGTTTCTCTTTCTCATTACTTCATGCTACTTCCTTCCTTGCGGATTATACTCCTGCAGAGGGCTAGCCCTTCCCAGGGCAAATGTGTGTAAGCTAAAAGCAAAATAATTCTTTATCTTGTAGGAGATACAACAGCGCTACAGCAGCAATGTTCTGCTATTCTTGGCCATTTCCTTTATTATTTTTAAATGACATGGCAGTATTTTAGGAAAAGGTAAACTTTTGATGCGTGCATCAACCAGCCAGAAGAGAGCACGTGATGTATAACAGGATGTCTAGGTTGCAGGGTGCAAATTATGGGACTAGGAAAGTTGCATGTAATCTTAAAACACTTTCAGCTCTGTTTCGTATGAGTTAGGATGAATTTTGACTAAGACTGGTTTCCAAGCTTGTTGTTTGTAGCCAAGCAGGTGATATTGCCATTAGTAGCATTCAAATGAACAAACCAGCTCTTCTTTTTCATTATTATTTCCCAGCCCCGAATCCAAGGCATCATAAGTTTTTGTAAAGAGCCAAAAATTTCCATAGTCCATTCAAGTATTCTTTTTTTTGTCTTGTGGGAAGAGTACAGCTTAGCTCATAACTGTGTGTTAAACACCTGTACCTTTTGATATTTAACAGGCAACTGAAGTGTGCGATTTTC